TTTCTCAATAAGGTGTATTTCCTTTTTTTCTTAAGATTGAACACAGACAAGGGAAGAGAAATTATGTTTCCTTATTCAGATTTCTTGCCTCCAAACTCTGACTTGTGGTTTCATTTCCATATTTACCACAATGTCATCATTGGGTGGGTGGGGTGGGGGCTCAAGAGGGGCACGGAGGGACAGAAGGAGGATGAACTATAAGACGTGGATTATGGTTCCAGATCCAGCACAGTGGGCGGCTTAGTGTACGTCATCTAAGCTTTCCGGGCCTCAGTTTCTCCTTTTGTCAGAAAAAGATAGCAGTCCCTCCCCTGTCTGCAAGTAAAGCTGGAGTCCCTGAAATCACTACCAGCGGACCGAGGAGCACGCTGCTCGCAGTGCCTCAGGGATCTGACCCGTGGTGTTCCCAGTGTTCTGTGAGGCTGATTCTCAGCATAGCCTGGAAGATGTCTACCCCTGACCAGGTAGTCGCTTTCATAACTTTCACCAACTGGCCACGTTATACTAGTTGCAGCTGATCATGCCCACGGGGTTAGCTATGCTGTAACTGGTGGGCAGAAGCTGGCCAAGGGCGAGTAGAGACTGAATTTGCTGCTTCTTGAGTAAAGTCATCCGCACTCATAGTAGAAAAGGAGTGGGTGAGTGGTGGAGCCAGGAGACAGACGTGTGGTAGGGAGAATATGATCCCCTCCTTTCTTCAACAACAAAGGAGACTGGCTTCAGCCGTGGGGAGAAAGAAAGGAGAAATGGCCATTTACCCCTTACTTTTCCATCTTCTGTGACCGTGTCATGAGTGTTTCCCAAGACCAGAAAAGTCCCTTTCCAGACGTAGAACTGGACAGCGGACGGAAAACAACAAGGCCTGTCTCAGATTCTGATGATTGTTTAGAGTCACGATGCTGCTGATGGGGCAGTGAAGACATTTCTGGTGTCTTTCTGCTATCGATTTCTAGCTTGACTCCACCGTGGGTAGAGAGCATATTCTGTATGATTTCAATTCTTGTAAACTTCTTGAGGTTTGTTGTCCCCGCCCACCCACACCTATGTATGACCTGCCATTTCATCTCCCAACAACATGTAATTATAGCATGTTGACCAGGGTTAACTAGAGGGAATCACAACATGGAGGAGCTAGCAGTTTCCTAGGGCTGCCGTAACCAAGACCTATGCAAACCTCAGGATCTGGTCCATCTTGGCAGGTGTTCCATGAGCACTTCAAAAGAATGTGTCTTCTGTTGATTGTTTGGTGGAGTGTTCCATAAATATCAATTAGATACTGTTAATTGACCATGTTCTTGAACTCTTCTATATCTTTACTCATTCTCTATGTAGTTGTTCTATGAATTGTTGAGAGAGGGGTGTGAAGTCTCTAACTGTAATTATGGATTCATCTATTTCTCCTTTCAGTTCTAAAAAAACATATTTTGCATCTCTGTTGTTTGGGATTACAGATTTAGAATTGCTTAGTCTTCTTGGTGGATCAACATTTTTATCACTATATAACATCCCTCTCTGCAGCTGGTAATTTCTTTGTTCTGAAGTCTACTTTATTTGATATTAATATAGCCATTCCTTCTTTCCTTTGCATGATTAGTATTTGCACTATTTATCTTTTTCCATCCTTTGATTTTCAACCTATTTCTACTATAACATTTAAAATGATTTTCTTGTAAGCAGCATATAGTTGGGTCATGTCTTTTAATGTACTCTGCCAATCTCTGTCTTTTAGTCAGTGTATTTAGATCCCTTACATTTAATGTAATTATTGAGATGTGAGGGCATCAGTCTGCCATTTTCATTTGTTTTTTCCTTTGTCCTCTCTGGTTTTCATTTCTCTATTTTCCACTCTACATTCCTGTGGGTTACTTGAACAATTTTTAGAATTCTATTTTGATTTATATATAACATTTTCAAATTGTACTTTTCTGTATGACTTTTCAGGAGATTGTTCTAGGTATTACAGTATATGTACAGAACTTATCACAATCTACTGGGGCTATTGTTTGACCAGTTTGCCTGAAGTGTACAAACTTTACCTCCCTTTACATCCCTTAACCTTCTCTGTTTATAATATAATTGTCTTAAATTTATTTCCTCTACATAAATTTAGAACCACATCAGACATTGCTATAATATTTTCTTCAACTACCAAACATAATTTAGAAACTCAAGAGGAGAAGGAAAGTCTATTTACCCATATTTTACTACTTTCTTCCTTCCTGGTGTTCCAAGCTTCCTTGTTTTACTGTTTCCTTTCTTTTTCAGAACTTCCCTTAGTCACTGTTTTAGAGTAGGTTTGCTGGTGACAAATTCCCTTAATTAATTTTCCTTCAGCTGAGAACGCCTTGATTCCCTTTTATTCTTGAAGGATCTTTTCTCTGACCACAGTATGCTAGGTTGACAGCCCTTTTCTTTTAACACTTGAAAAATGTTGTCACTTCCTTCTGAGCTCCATGGTTTCTGACGAAAAACCTGGAGATGACCCTGTACTACCATAGAAGTAGAGCATGATGTGCCTCTCAAGGGCCTGCCACTTCTCCATCCCCTTTCTACCAAATGGTAGGATCCAGGCACCCCACTCCCCATCCCACTATGTATTCAGGGTTGGGGAGTATATGTGTCCTGGTGCTTCCAAGTTTGCCTTTGTGCATGAACTACTCCAGGATCACGCTGTGCTTGACTGTCATTCAGCTCCACAGTGGGCCTCAGCTTGCTTTGGTTTTGGTCAGCAGCTGGCCCTCTAGGACCAACATCCTCCCTAGGTCATTGCTGCCACCACTATGCCATCCTCAGAGGAGGGTGATGTGGGGGCAACCTGCACTCCTCTTACTGCCCTGCCCACCCACACCTATGTATGACCTGCCATTTCATCTCCCAACGTGTAATTATAGCGTGTTGACCAGGGTTAACTAGAGGGAATCACAACGTGGAGGAGGGGTAGTTTCCTAGGGCTGCCATAACCGAGTACCACAAACTGAGTGGCTTATAACGCGAGAAATTTGTTCTCTCATAGTTCTGGAGGCCAGAAGTCCAAAATTAAGGTATTGGCAGGGCCATGCTCCCTCTGGAGGCTGTAGGAGAGGGTCCTTTCTTGCCTCTTCAGCCTCTGGTGACCCCACGTGTTCCTTGGCTTGTGGCAGTAGAACTGCAATCTCTGCCTCTATCTTCACATGACTGTCTTCCCTCTGGGGGTGTGTATGTGTATGCGTGTGTGTGTGTGTCCCAATTCCCCTCTTCTGATACACATACCAGTTATAATGGATTAAGGCTCACCCTAATGGCCCTATCTTAACAATGAAATCTACAAAGACCTTATTTCCAGGTAATGTCACATTCGTCACAGTCAGAGGTACTGGGGGTTAGGACTTCAACATTTCTTTTCTAGGGGAACACAACTCAACCCAGAAGAGGGGAGGAAAGCTTAAAAAGTGAAGCTGAATATAAATGTTTACAAACTAAAGCTAAAACCCTTTTAAGGACACTCTCATGAGCTCACTCCAGTTTCTGGACATTTCACATAAATGGAATCATACCTTCTGTGGTCTTTGGTGTCTGACTTCTTTCACTTAGTATAATGCTTTCAAGGTTCGTTCATGCTGTAGCATATATCTGTATTCCATTCCTTTTTATGGCTAAATAATATTCCATTGGATGATATACCTTATTTTGTTTACCCATTCATCAGTTGATGTAAATTTGGGTTGCTTCCACTTTTTTGGCTATTACGAAAAATACTGTTTTACCATTCATGTGGAAGTTTTGTATGAACATATGTTTTCAGTTCTCTTGGATCTGAACCAAAGAATGGAATTACTGAGTCACATGGTAACTCCACAGTTAACTTTCTGAGAAAGTGCCACACTGTTTTCCACAGTGGCTGCAGCATTTCACATCCTCACCAGCAATGTATACAGGTTCAATCTCTCCACATCCCCACTGGTATTCTTTCTTTCTTTCTTTCTTCCTTCCTTCCTTCCTCCCTCCCTCCCTCCCATCCTCCCTCCCTTCCTTCCTTCCTTTGTTTCTTTTTAAAATGATAACCATCCTGTGACTATGAAGTGATGCTTTTTTTGGTTGTGATTTGCATTTCCCTAATGACTAAAGGTGTTGAGTATCTTTTCATGTGTTTATTGGCAATTTGTATATCTTCTTTGGAGATACATCTATTCAAATCTTTGGCCTACTTTAAAATTGGGTTATTTCTATTTTTATTGTGGAGTTATAAGTGTTCTTTATATATTCTGGATACTAGATCTTTAACAGATGTATGATTTGCAAATAATTTCTCCCTTTCTGTGGGTTGTCTTTTCACTTTTTTTGATGGTGTTCTTTGATGGGCAGAAGTTTTCAATTCCGGTGAAATCCAGTTTATCTATTTTTCTTTGGTTGTTTGTGATTTCGGTGTCATATATTAGAAACTATTGTTTAATCCATGGTCATGAAGATTTATATCTACATTTTCTTTTAAGAGTATTATACTTTTAACTCTTATAGTTAGCTCTTTGATCCATTGTCTATATAGTCATGCTGCATAATGACGTTTCAGTCAACAACGGACTACATATGTGACAGTAGTCCTATAAGATTAGTACCATACAGCCTAGGTGTGTAGTAGGCTATACCATCTAGGTTTGTGTAAGTGCCCTCTATGATGTTCACACAATGAGGAAATCACCTACTGACCCATTTCTTAGAACATAGCCCTGTTGTTAAGCAAGCGGTGACTGTGCTAATATTTGCCTATAGTGTGAGCCAGGGATCCAAATTCATCATTTTGCATGTGGATGTCCAGTTATTCTCGCACTACACATTGTTTTTATCCATTAATTTGTTTCAGGTACTTTTCCTGGCATCCTTAATCCTTTTGCATATATCCCACATATACATAGACAGCACTCCCAAAACTCTTCCCCGGTGTGTCCTAGCTCGCAGCCTTAGCGGGATGTGCCTGCCCTCTGGGGTCCCTGGAGTGGTCCAGGCACGAATGTGCTTATCAGTGGATGGGTCAAAGTCCTCTATAAGGTCTGTTGGCCCGGGTCGACCTCCCCCAAGGCGTCCGCCCAGCGTCCGGCAAGCAGCAGGCAGAGCAGGCCCAGGGCCCCCAGTAGCGCAGCCACGACCAGCCTCGGGCTGCTCCAGGGTGCCCTCCCGCGCCCCCACAGCGCCGCCAGCAGCCCGCCCCGCCGCCGCTGCACGCGGGCCGCCACGCTCTCCGCCACCCTGTGCAGCCGCTCCTCGGGGCGCGCGCGGCCCAGGGCGCGCGCCAGGCCATACACGTCGTTGGTGTAGGGCGCGCCCCCGTGCGCGCGCACCAGCCGCTCCAGCAGCGCCATGAGCTCCGCTATCTGGGCCTCCCGCTCCGCGCCGCTGGCGCGGTTGTCGAAGGCGCAGACGCGGCCGCCGCACTCGGCCACCAGCTCCCGCAGCGCGCGGTTGTCGGTGCAGCGCACGTAGTCCTGCAGCGAGGTCCCGGCCAGGTCCTCCTTGCGCGTGAAGAGCAGGACCGTGCGCGCCACCGCGCCCTCGCCGAACATGGCCTTGAGCCGGCGCGCGGCCTGCTGGTCCTGGGCGGTGAAGCGGCCCAGCTGGCTGACGAGGAGCAGGGCGTGCGGCCCGGGCGCCGAGAGCAGGTAGCAGCGGCCCCTCTCGCCGCAGCCCGGCTCTGTCCTGGGGTCTTCGGCGCCGAACAGGTCCGGGGTGTCGATGACGTCCAGGTGCCAGCCGGCCCAGCGGCAGCTGCCCACGGCGCAGGTGGTGGTCACCTGCGCGGCGCTGAGCCTCGAGAGGAAGCGCCGCTGGCCCAGGATGCTGTTGCCTGTGGCGCTCTTGCCGGCCCCGGTCCTCCCGGCCAGGATGAGCCTGAGCCTGGGCTCCTGCGGGTCGTCCTCGGAACCTGCGCGGACAATGATTCGTGAGCCGCACGCCTGGAAGCGACTGAGCCTGCTGACCTGGACCTGCTGGACGCCTTTTGAACAAAGGGGAGCAATAGTGCCTCAGCCTTTGCTTTTCAAGGCCAGCCTTCGCTGAGGTGATCTGGTTAGAGACTTTTGGACTCCCGGGGGATCTTTACCTGTCTACGTCTTTCCTCTTTGGCGTCACCACATGCGCCTGGGGTTGCTCCAAGACCCCGTGGGCTTTTCCCTAGAGCACGCCCCTTTACAGTTCCAGGCCACATGGACTGCATCTGACGTGACCTCTGGTCACCCACAGCGTGCAGAGCTGTTGCTTATTTCACGACTTCAGTGGCCTCTGCGATACTCTCCCAGGTGCCATCCCAGGAGGAAAGGCAGCAGGCCTCGTGTGGAAGGGCTGCCCAGAGTCCCAGACACCTGGGTTTGAGCTACAGCCCCGCCATTTGCCAGCTGTGTCACCTGTGAAGGTGCTTACTGTAAGAGTTAAACGTCTTCTGTAAAAATGGAACTAGATTGTTTCTCACAGGGTTGTGGGGGGTGAGCTGAGACAAGCTCTCTTCTTCCCTCCCTCCTCCTTTTCCTCCTCCTCCCCCTCCTCTCTCTTAAACCTGCTGCCTAAGAAGACAGCAGTTTAACCTTCCATCCTGTTCTCTAACACCTTCTGCCTGGCAAATCGTGTTCCCTCTAGTCCATGATTGGATCCCTTCTCCATCCTCCTCTGCGGAGATCCGAGTAGATCCATGGTCCTCATTTCCCACTTTGGGATTGGAGGCGCAGGCTAGTCACAGAACTTAATGTCTCCCAGCAGGGCAGGGGCAGAGGTCCAGCTAACGTGCAGGTGGGGCTTGTCTCTGGTCAGTCTGGAGTTGGCTTGCCCCTCATCCCCCAGAGCTCACCCCTGGGGGCAGGAATGCCTTGGGAGATGTGTTCTTACCATAGGCATTTTCTTCGTCTCTTACCATCCTCTGTCCTCCCATGCTACCTGCAAGAGTCCCAAACACAGTTTGATCTTTCGTTTCTCATTCATTTATCCATCAGATAGGTATAACTCCCCACAATGTGTCAGGCAAAGTGGAAAGAGCTGGTGACCCCACAGTGAGGAAGCCACGGTTCCCTCCTGCCCCTGAACATCTGAGTTTAGGGAGGAACCTGGGAAGAGCCTGGGCTGAGGTTGGAGTGAGGCTGAGAACTTGGCTTTGTCATTTCAGGGACTCCAAGTGCAGCAGCAGAGCGCAGAGCGTGACACTCTGCGTCAGTGAGGCGGCTGTGAATGTTAATTTCCCAGGTAATTCTGTATCAGTACATGAGCCTTACATATTAAATTTTCCCAGGAGGTTCAGCAGCCAGAGGAGACTTTGGAAAACCCTGAGAACCCCAAAATTTGCCCAGTGACTTAGGGAACACCCTAGGGTGGTTGGCCTGGGAAACAAACAAGAAGAAAATTGGCGTTTTGTTTGTGGAAATTGGAAAAGAGACATACCTCGCAAGCTGCTCTGGACAGCCTCTGACTCTGCTCTCAGCAAGCTGGATAATTTGGCTCGCAATGTGTCTAACTCTGATCTGTGTGCTGGAGAGACTGGGGCGCTCCCCTCCATCTCCTGATGTTCTGCCCCAAATCTGAGGCTTCTCGAAGTAAACTGATGATGCCCAGTTCAACCATCATTTAATACAATAAACGTTCAGGGAGCACGTTTGCCGGATCCCACAGGTACCCGGACGCAAGTGCACAGTCTCTCCTCCATCTGCGTCTCCAGCCTCATCTCCAGCCACTCCCTGACTCGATCAGCTGCTCCACCAGGAGCAGACTTCAGGGCCTTTCCAGCCCACCTTGTGCTTTCCCTCCTGTGACCATTCATCCTCTCCCACGTTCTGTCTGAGTCCTGCCTGAGCTCACATCCGTTTCTAATTCTCCCTCTCCCTGTCGTCCACCTGGTTACTGCAGTCGACCGTGTTCTCTCCCACTGGCACCACACAAGGGAAAGCAAAGCAGAGGTTTGCTGAATACCTTGTCTCTGGCCAAAGGACCAAGAGGACAGGTTTGCCTGGTCCTCAGTCCAAAGTGCTCATGTTCCTGCAGTAAGTGCCCTGCCACCTCCCCAAGCCTTAAGTTCAGCCCACGGGCCTCCTGTGATTAATTATTTTGTGTGTAGAAATCAACAAGCTGCCATAATTGACAGCAGAGCAGAAATGAGGAAACAGCCACAAGATTAGAACAAAGATCAAGACTTTAGCCAAAGTGAGCAGTCCTCGTCAAAGATGGAAATGAGAAAGTGTGCTGCAGGGAATTCACTGAGCCCTTGGGAGGCGTTTGGAACCTCCCGCGGAGTTTGGAGTGGGATTTGAACAGTTCTCCCAAAGTTCCTAAGAGCTGAAACCTGGGGTGCACAAGACGAATTGTTGCTGAGGAACGTCAGCCGTGTAGAATCCTGTCATCTGAAAGCTCCGAGGGTCGGAGTCTGTTTACCTAGTCCAGTGCTTCTTGAACCTGCTGTCTTTGGAATTCTCTAGGGGATTCTTTAAAATGAAGATTTCTTAGAGATTTTGATTCTCATATCTGTCCTTTTGAGAAATAAGTTCCCCCTCCTGTGACTCTAAAGCGTTCGGTCCACGGTCTGAGTTTCTGATGAGTTATCCCAGCGCCTCCTTCATTACACGGGTGAGAGGAGGTGAGCCTGCAGAGCCCTGGGCAGCTGAGATTGGGGGCAGGTGTTGAAGGGCACACGTAGGGTGAGGGACTGAAGACCACGCTCGTAACCTTAGATGTCTCCTGCAAGAGCTGGTTGTGGACAGAGCTGAGGAAAGTGGAGCGTTTCACGAGGATTCAGTTCAGGTTTATACCGAATTTTCACTTTGTAACTTGCTCGAGTTTAGATTTGTATGTATGTCCTCAAAAATATTTTTTGCCTTGCTGAACATGCATCTGGGGAGTGTTTCTGCCTTCTAGAGTGTGCTGTGTTCCCTGTAGTGGTTCTAGCAAACACCTTCCTTATTTATTAGGGGAGGAGGGAAGGAGAGAGGATTTGATAAGACTGTGTGCCCTCCAGAGCTGGAGAAGCTGCGTCCCATTTCTTGGGAACTTACTCAATTTGAATCTCAGCACATCCTTTAAAACCTGGAGGTGTGAAGTGATTCTTTCTAGGCTCTGCTCCCCGCCACCCCTCAACCTCGTAGCTCACTCATCGGGTGACATACAGACACCGCATTCCGCACAGGTCCTCCTCCCCGGCCGGCTCCCTTGCCCTTGGGCTCACCTTTCCTGCAGAGTTGGTGAAGGGCTCTGACGCTGGCTCCCGGGAGCCTCTGACCTACTGCTTTCCCTTGGTTGTGAGGCCAGCAGGCTGTTTCCTCCCAGCACAGGAGGAAGTCTGCCTCTCAGCCCTCAGAGCTCAAGAAGCTCGGGGCGGGAGGGTCCCCGAGGTGATGACTTAGTCCCACTTGTTTACTATTATTGTTACCCTTATTTTGACTTTTGTTGCCTTTGCTTTTGGTGTCAAATGGAAAAAAATATTGCCAAGACCCTACTCAAGGAGCTTTCCACCTATGTTTTTTTCTACGAATTTGATGGTTTCTGGTCATATGTTTAATCTTAATCCATATTGAGTTGATTTTTCTGTATGGTGTGAGAAAGAAGTGCAATTTCGTTATTTTGAACGTGGCTATCAAGTTTTATATATACTTGGCTCATTTGTCATAAATTTATTGCCCATATATACATAAGTTTATTTCTGGCGTCCCTGTTCTGTTCTGTTGATCTATGTCTCTGTTTTTATGCCAATGCCATGCTGTTTTGATTAGTATAGTTTTGTAATATAGTTTCAAATTAGGAAGTGTGATGCCTCCAACTTTTTACTTTTTTAAGAGTGCTTTGGCTATTCCAGACCTTTTGCGTTTACATACAAATTTGGGTTTTATTTTTCTACTTCTGTGAAAAATGCCATTGGAATTTTGATAGGGGTTACATTGAACCTGTAGATCACTTTGTGTAGTATGGACATTTTCACAATATTATTTCTTCCAATCTGTGAGTACAGAATATCTTTCCATTTATTTGTGTCTTCTTCAGTTTCTTTCATCAGTGTCATATAATTTTGAATGTACAGGTCTTTTACCTCCTTGGTTAAATTTATTCCTAGGTAGTTTATCCTTTGCGATACTATTGTAATGAGATTGTTTTCTTAATTTCTCTTCCTGATAAATCATTACTAGTGTATAGAGACACAACTGATTTTTGTATATTGATTTTGTATCCTGCAGCTTTACTGAACTTGCTTATTAGTTCTCACAGTTTTTTGGTGGAGTCTTTAGGATTTTCTATATATAAAATCATGTCATCTGCAAATAGAGACAATTTTATGTCTTCCTTTCTGATTTGGATGCCTTTTGGTTTCTTTTTCTTGCCTAATTACTCTGGCTGGGACTTCTAGTACTATGTTGAATGAAAGTGGAAAGAGTGGGCATCCTTGTATTTTTCTTGATCTTAGAGGAAAAGCTTTCAGATTTCCTTGCTGAGAATGATGTTATCTGTGGGCTTGTCATATAGGGACTTTATTATGTTGAGGTGTGTTCCCTCTGTACCCAGTTTGTTGAGAGTTTTTATCATGAAAGGATGTTGTATTTTGTCAGATGCTTTTTCTGTATCTATTAAGATGATCATATGATTTTTATCCTTCATTTTGTTAATGTGGTGTATCACATTGATTGATTTGTGGATATTGAACCATCCTTGCATCCCGCTCCATCTTGTTTTTCAACAGTGTCTTTTCTTGCCTACTTGCCCTAGTTAGAACCTCTTGTACAAAGTTGAAATGAAGTGACAAGAGCAGATATCCTTGTTTTATTCCTGATCTTAGCAGGAAAGCTTTGAGTCTTTCATCATTAGGTATGGTACTAGTTGTGGGATTTTCATAGATGCCTTTTACCGTATTGTAGAAGTTTCTTTCTCTTCCTAGTTTATTGAGGGTTTTTATTATAAAAGGATATTCAGTTCTGTCAGGTGCTTTTTCTGGATCTATTGAGATGATCACTTTTTTTTTTCTCCTTTACTTTGTTGATATAGCTTATTACGTTAATTGATTTTTGGATGTTAAGCCAATATTGCATTCCTGGGATAAATTTCACTTGGTCATGGTGTATATTCCTTTTTATATATTGCTGGATTCCCTTTGCCATTATTGTGTTGAGGATTTTGCATCTATATTCATAAGAGATATTGGTCTATAGTTTTCTTTTATTGTGATATCTTTTTCTGGTTTCGTATCAGGATAATACTGGCATCATAGAATGGGTTGGGAAGTATTATTCCTCTTGTATTTTTTGGGAGAGTTTGTGAAGAATTGGTATTAATTCTTCTTAAATTTTCGATAGAATTCATCATTGAAGCTATCTGGGTCTGTGTTTTTCTTTGTAGGTAATTTTTTTATTCATGCTTGAATCCCTTTCTGTGTTATAGGTCTATTCAGACTTTCTATTTCTCCTTGAGTTGGTTTGGTAGTTTAAGAATTTGTCCATTTCCTCTAAGTTATCTGATTTTGGAGGCATAAAAATTTTCATAATACTTCTTTATAATTGTTTTAATTCTGTAAGCTCAGTAATAAGGTCCCCTCTTTCATTCTTGATTTTAGTAATTTAATTCTCCTCCCTATTTTTTTGGTCAAACTAGCTAAAGATTTGTTAATTTGTTGATCTTTGCGAAGAAGCTGGTTTGGGTTTTGTTGGTTTTCTATATTGTTTTTCTACTCTCTAGTTCACTAAGTTCTACTCTAATCTTTATTATATCCTTCTTCTGATTTCCTTAGGTATAGTTTGCTCTTAGTTTCTCACCGCCTTAATGTGCAATATTAGATTATTGGCTTGAGATCTTTCTTCTTTGTTTAATATTGGTACTTCCGGCAGTAAACTTTCCTCTAAGCATTGCTTTAGCTACATCCCATGAGTTTTGCTATGTTGTTTCTTAATTTACATTCATCTCAATGCATTTACAATTGCCCCTTTTTATTTCTTCTTTGACTCACTGGTTATTTAGGATTGTGTTGTTCAATATCCACATATTAGTGAATTTCCCAACTTGTTTTCTATTATTCATTTCTAATTGCACTCCCTTTTGGCTGGTGAGCATACTATGTATAATTTCAAGCCTCTTAAATTTATTGAGGCTTATTTCATGGCCTCACAAAAACAGTCTCTTTAGGAGAATGTTCCTTGTGCACTTGAAAAGAATGTATATTGTGCCGTTGTTGGGTGGAGCATTCTGGTGTTAGACCTAGTGGATTTATAGTGTTGTGGTCACATCTTCTACATCTTTGTTGACCTTCTGATTAGTTGCTCTACGCTTTATTCAAAGTGGGGTATTGAAGTCTACAACTATTATTGTTGAATTGTCTATTCCCTTCTGTTATTTTTTGCTTCATGTGTTTCAGGGCTCAGTTGTTAAGTTCATATATGTTTATAATTGTTATATCTTCAGATTCATTGATTCTTTCTTCTGCTGGTTCAAATCTGCCATTAGAGCCCCTCTAATTTTTCATTTTCAATTATACTTTTCACCTCCATCATTTCTATTTTGTTCATTTAAAAAAACATTTGTATCTCTTTCTTTTTCTTTTTTTTTGGCTGAGGAAGGTTCACTCTGAGCTAACATCTGTTGACAATTTTCCTCTTTTTGCTGAGGCAGATTTACCCTGAGCTAACATCTGTTGCCAGTCTTCCTCTGTTTTGTACGTGAGCTGCTGTCACAGCGTGGCTGCTGACGGACGAGTGGTGCAGGTCTGTGCCCGGGAACCAAACCTGGGCTGCCGAAGCGGAGAGCACCAAACTTAATCACTAGGCCACCAGGGCTGGCCCTCTATGTCTTTCTTGATATTCTCTATTTGATGAGATAGTGTCATTGTAACTTCTTTTATTTAAGTGCGCTTTCCTTCAGTTCTTTAAACGTGTATAATTGCTGCTTTGAAGCGCCATCTTTAAATCCAATATCTGGGCCGTCTCACAGGCAGCTTCTGTTGCTTGTGTTTTTTCTAGTGTATAGACTACACTTTCCTGTTTCTTTGTCCGATAGTTTTCATTAAAAGCTGGGCATTTTAAGGAATACAGTGTAGCAATTCTGGGTACTGATTCATCTTCTGCTTTTCTAGGGCTCGATTTGCTGCTGTTTGTGTATTTGCCTGGTGACTTGGCTGGACTCTTCCAGTGAGGTCTGTTTCCCCTGCAGTGTGAAGCCTCTGGTGTTGTCCTCAGAGGGTGCAGCCTGGAGCCTGCACACAGTCACCTGGAGTGAGAGCAGTTTAAGCAGTGCTCTCTCTGACTGTCTCCTTCCTGCTCTCTCTGTTAACCTGTGTGTCTCTGTTGGTTTTACACCTGGCTGTTAGGCTTGCTAATTACCCCCTGATTGCTCTCTTGTTTTTGACAATGACCTTGGGCATAAATTGCTCCCCCATCTGATCTGATTAAATTTTGCTTCCTCTGCAGGGGTAGTTTTCGTGGTCAGTCTTTCAGGTTTTCTCTGACCCTGGAGGGACTGTTCTTACCTGTCTCTCTTCCTGGTTCTCTCTGGCAAACTTGCTGCCCTGTGGTTTCTCCTGTGGCTCTCAGACTCCTCTAAATTGCTTACCATGAAAATCTTCATTGTTTTCAAGAGTACCCTTGACTTGACCTTCCCATACTGTTTCTAATAATTTCCTTTGGGGAGAGCTTAAGAGTTCTCTGTTATTATGGACTTGTTTTCATCCTAAACAAAATCTCTGAGCCACAGCCGTGGGCACAGAGCAGAAGACAGTAGTCTCTTGTCTTCTCCAATGTGGAACCTCCATCATAGGAGGGAGTTGGAGTGTGGGCCAACTGTTGTGCCTGCTCTTAACGAGGCCCTGGTGTGCGTTTGGAGACTCACAGGAAAACTCTGCCACTTCATCCTCAGGCAGCAGCAGCCTGAGGAGGGTCCGAAAAGGAGCCTGAGCACAGTTCGGAGTGACCTCCATGGTGAGATTTCTCCTTGGCCCAGTCTTTCTACCCTCATTCCTTCTGAACGCTGCAGCAGGTACAAACAAGGGGACATGGCCCTGCGACCCAGCCTTTCCAGCCTGTGCTTTGACCACAACTCTCTGTGCAGAGTAAGATAGAGTCAGGGGAGGAGAGGCAGGAAGTGGCTGTGGCTGAGGCAGGAGGCCTGTTTTTCTGTGCACGAGTGAATGTACAAAAAATCATCCTGTTGCTCATTTCTTGAAAATATAGGGGATTATGAGAAGCAAAAATGTGTTGTGATATGCTGAGATATACATTACAATTGTTCCCTTTATCCCCTGTTAAATTTTATTTGTAGAATTTATCATTAGCACTAAAACACTTAAGAACACTCTCTTAATGCAAGGATTGGAGTGAAGCAACAAAAGACGTCAGATTGAAACCAAAAGGAAGAAATGAAGATCATAGCGGAAATTGTGCAGACCAAATTGCAAATCCCAGAAAGAAGGGAAGTTACTGAGCGCTGTTGGGTGGTCATGGCGGCCTCTGAATCTTTTCCCCGATTCCTGTCCTCCTAGGCAGCCTCTTCTTCTTCCACTAGGGTCATGGAATGGCTAAGAGTTCAGGGATATGCAGGCAAACCTTGTGGGCTTTGGAGGGATGGGACTAAAAAGTCTGGTAGCCGAGTGAGGAAGGGAGCCGTGGGTGTGTTGAGAGCAGCAGGAAGCTGTGGGGAAAATGCCTGATTCTTTGCTTCTTGCTTTCTTGGCTGTTGGTGCCAAAGGGTAAATGACGCTGACTCTGTCACTGTCTGTAACTATACGTTTCCCTGATGACCCTAGGGACTCAAACGCCCTGGGAGAAGGGCCTGTGCTCATATTGCTCCTTCACACTAGACCTCTTAAGCCAAGAGCCCCAGGCCTGGTGCACCCCTTGTGGTCTCCCTTTGAGGACAACTGCTCTTTGTGCCACTGCTGGAGGTTTGTAACTATAACCACCCGACCTCTGAGAAGTAGCGTGAGTGAGCAGAGCTGGGCTCGTGATCGTGCCACTGGGAGAGTCTGGGGATTTGTTCTCATGGGAGAAGCCTGAATATTATTGTCTGACACAGTTCCACAGCAGGCATCAGTCTGAGACAATCCAACCCTGCCCCGTCTTCGCATCTGTAGAGATGCTGCGGCTCAGAGGGCTCATGGGTTTTTCGCCCAAAGCCGTAGGTCTTGCTAGTGGCAGAATCAGACCCACACGCTTTCCCACTGAGCACACATCCTTGTTAGAGGGAGACACCCAGTGCTGTTGGGCTGATATGCGACTCCAGTACTGAAGCTCATGGAACAAAACAGTTGCCATTGGGGGAACAGAGGGTGTGATTGACCTACTTAGACAGGGTAGTAATCCTGTGCAGCCAGCGTAGCCTAGGAGGAAGGCTCCTGGATATTTAGACGCTTCACAGCTTGTTTTGTCTTATTGTGAGGGGATAATGCCCCCCTCCCCCTTTTCTTTTAGATAAAACCGTTCTTTTGTGTGAGTTTGGTATCCTGTAAGAGCGTGAGCTTGGCTCTTGCTGGTGGGACTGGGCCATGCTGGGAGGCGGACGTGGTCTGATAACCCCTCAGCTCAGCCCATCCGGGAGTCTGCCTGTGCCCCTCATGAGTCAGGAGGCCTCAACTGCACTCTCAGGACTTGAGTCCCTCTGTCCCTCTTTAAAAGAAATGGTTTTTTGTTTTGATTTTGGTGTTGAATAAATTGTTGACAAAAACTAAACTCCCCTGAGAATTTTAAAGCTAAATTCTCTGAGGAAGCCAGCGTCTCTCCTCCCTGAGATTCCATGGTCATCTGGGCCTGCCGTGTGGGTGGGACTGAGGGAGAAGATGTGCTCGTAAGGTTGCACCGCTCAGACTGCGCAGTGCAGAAGGGGAAATCTTTGAGTCGTTAAGAGGATGGAACGAACCGCAGGCAGGAGACGAGGTGTAGGAAGGATAAGGTGGTGCATTAGACTCCCAGGGCTGCCGTGACAGATCCCTGCACACCGTGTGGCTTAACACAACAGAAAGGTATTGTCTGTTAGTTCCGGGAGTCCCAAATCAGAGTGTCACAGAGCCTTGCTCTCTCTGAAGGCTCCAGGGGAGGACCCTTCCTTGCGTCTTCACAGCTTCTGGTGGTTGCTGGCAATCCTTCGCATTCCTCGGCTTGTCGGTGCGTCACTCCACTCTCTGTCCTCGTGCATTTTCCCGTAAATCACCAAGAGAACCCGGGCTGCACCATCCACACTTTGCTTGGACACCTCCTCAGCTAAATATTCAAGGTCTTTGCCTACGAGTTAGGCTTTCCACCCAGTGGTAGAGCATAATTCAACCGACTTCTCGGCCACTTTATAGCAAGTATCACCTTTCCTCCAGTGTCTGATAGCGTGTTCCTCTCTTGGATCTGAGATCTGACCAGAAGTACCTTTAATGTTCGCTTGTCCTCCAATAGTCTCTTCAAGGCAATCTAGGACTTTTCTATCCGGCACCTCAAAATTCTTCCAGTTTCTGTCCATTACCGAATTTCAAAACCACTTCCACATTTTAGGTATTTTTTAATGCAGCACCCCACTTCCTGTACCAAAACCTAAGTTAGTTTCCATGGGCTGTTGTCACAAATGGGCACGAACTGGGTGGCTTACATCAGCAGAGATCGGTCGTCTCACAGTCGGAAGGTAGAAGTCCAACACCGAGCTGCTCTCAGGGCCACGCTGTCTCTGATGCCTCTGGGAGGATTCTCCTTTGCCTCCTCCAAGCTTCTGGAGGCTGCTGGCCACCCTGGGCCTTCTTTGGCCTGTAGATGTGTCACTCCAATCTCTGCCTCTGTTGTCACCTGTTATTCCCCTCTGTGCGTCTGTGTCCAAATTTCCCTCCTTTCATATTGATACAGTCATTGGATTAGGGCCCCCCCCCCCCCCCCCTTAGTGACCTCATCTTAAATGGATTACTTGCAAAGACCCTATGAAGTCACAGTCTCAGGTACCAGGGGTTAGGACTTGACCCCATCTTTGGGGGAGACAATGCAACCTCTAACAGGTGCTCAAGGAGCAGTGTACGCAGTTGGAAGGTGAAATGCCCCGATCTCTGTCTTCCCAGGCCTAGTTGTAGTTAGTAGGTTAAACCCATGTGCTCATTGGAAGATGTTTTCCAGGCCTCGTCTTCCTCTTTTTCTCTTGGTTCCCAATGGTTTAGACCCTTTGGCTTAGTTTCTGAGTGCTGTTAACTTCTGAAAGAGTAACATGAGACCTTCCTGAAAGACTATAGTAAAAACCCACATTATAGGGTCACTGGGAAGCATCCCCAGGCTCTAAACTTGGAAACACCAAGCCACATATCTGAGTTCTTTCTTCCCCGAATCACCCTGCAGTCTCCCACCCCACCCAGGGGAGATGAGCAGACCTTGTGCCTGGCTTCCTGGGCCAGATGTGGGTCATTTAATAAGGTCCCTTTGGCTCCACCACTATAACCCAAAACAGTGAATGTAGCTTTGGAAATTCTGGTGCGCTAGCAGGCACATGGAGAAAAAGCTTTCAACTTGCGAACACTGAAGCACCCACCAAATCATGAGGCAATATTTCTGTCTCTTTAAAGGCAGAGAGTTCCTTCACTGGCTCCACCCAATCTGAGTTTCCTCACTCAGAGGTTTCAGAGGGTGCAAAGGCTTTTTCCCCAAAGTTAAAGCAAAAGCACCATTTCAAAGAGCTTCTTTGGAGAGGACTTGAGAACTCAACTCATTCAAAAGAAGGTGAGCCTGGCTGAGAGGAGACCCCCTGAGCATAGAGCTGTGAGGGGCAGTAGGATCCAGGGCACTGCCTGGGGGGTGGATTCTGGTCTGAGAGTGGTGGGAGAGATGTGGTGGTGGAGGGTAGCGTGGGGAGTGAGGAGACGGCGTCTGTCCATCTCCTATGTAACGGGACAAACTTGTGCTGAGTAGGGCACCTTCCATCCAGTTGCTTCTGTGATGGACATGAGTGCTACCTGATAACCCACCCTCTTCCCTGACTAGGAAGTTAGTGTCCCCAGGGCAGGTCTTAGAGCAATTTAGAGACCACCTAGTCTAAATCCCTCTTTTTACTGAAAAAGAAGCAGAATCCCAGAGTGTGGTGACTCTCCAGGGGTTACACAGGTCACTAACGGCAGAGGAAATTTGGAATTCGGTTTGCTGAATCCTTTCCAGCAGTTAACAGAGAGAAGCTGTGTCCCCAGCAGTGTAAGAGACGAGGTGAGGAGGGGAGAGGGTCAGCTACGCTAAGGAGACAACGTGTGTGACGCCCTCCTCGTTCCTGCCTAATTACAGCCTTGCTGCCAGTTCTCGCTTCTGGAAAGAGTGGACTGTCTTCCCTGCTCTGCCCTGATCTCTCTCTGTCCTGATGCAGACTGAAATTTAGAGCCGTGCTCCTGAGGAGGAACCCAGAAGAGGCCGTAGTGTGCAGTGGTTAAGAGCGAGCGCGGCGTGGTCGGACAGACTTTGAGCTGGATCCCCCTCTGCCCACAACCTTTAGCACCGTGACCTTGGGCAAGTTTCTCAGTATTTTTGAGCCACATCTACTTCCTCACTTAAAAAATTAGAATAATAAAATTAGTTTCGTTGCAGATCATATTTTGGGAGTAAATGAGATAATGTGCGAAACATATTTTTCATGGTGCTTAGTATACAGTGTGTGTTCAGGAGTAGTTATACTATACACAGGTTAAGTTTTTCATTACGGAAAAGTTTTAACTTATTCGAAGATAAGGAGAATAATATAAGGAACTTTCCTGTGCCTATACCAAGATTCAACCATTATCAATTGATGCAGTTTTGTTTCCTCTATTACTCAGCACTCTCTATCCTCCTCAGATCATTTTCAAGTAAATATCTGACATGACGTCACTCCATCAGTAAATATTTGAATATGTCTGTCTGAAAGATAAGGGCCGTGTCAAAAATATTACCATAATCAGACTTCAGAAAGCAACTAGAATTTTAAAAAATATTACTGAGTATATTCAGACTTCTCTGATTGTCTCATAATTTTTAAAATTGTTTGATGTCAGATCTAAATAAGGTCCATAACTTGCAACTGTTCAATATTTCTTAAGTTTAGCTTAATATTAGGTTTTCACCTTCCTTGTTTCTTTCTCTAAAATATCTTTTTTTAAGAAAGGGGAAGTTTTTTGTCTAACAGACTTGGACAGTGTACTTTTTGTCGATTGCATCCTCAAGATGTGATTTACCACGCTCTTCTAGTTCTAGTGTTTTGTGTGAATTTATATTTAGGGAGAGGCTTAATCAGATTCAGGTTTGACTGGTGTTTTGGTGGGACCGCTTCAGAGGTGCAGCTGTGAACTTCCATCAGAAGACGCGTGATGTCCTGTTGTCTCTCCTTCTGTGATGTTAGCAGACAGTGATGACTGCCTGGAGTAAATTTGTTTCATTAAGGGTCACAAATTAGGATATTCCATCTTTCTTTCTTCGTTTATTAGATAGAATAATCCTATAAAAAGAAACTTCCCCTTGGCAATCCTTTCATTTCCATGAGGTACAGTTGTTATAAGAAAGACAAGAGAAGTGCTTGATTCTTTCCCTTTTTGTCAATGTTCAGAATGATTAGATGCTCTCCTGGCAGACTCCAAGGAGAGCAAGTGACTTCTTTTCTGAAGGTGGAACTGTTAGCAACTCATGGATTTCAACACATTTGATATATTTCAATCCTTTGGAATTATTATTCTTATTGACGCTCAAATGGTCTCATCTTTGTCCAGTGGGAGCCTCTTCAAGTTGGCTCTTGAGTCTCTTTGGTAAGATCCCAGAATTTTTGGTAGCGTCCTGGCTTTCTAGTATGACAAGGTGGTCTAGGGTCAGCTTGTACATTTCCTGGCCCAGACCCGGAATCAGTTCTTCCTTCTAAGAGCCTTAATTTTTTGTTGGTGGGAAATGGCATTTGAAGACCACAATCTGGGCACTAAGGGTACTTGTTGCTACTGGGCTCATTGTTATTTTTATGCCTTTACAATGGACTTGAAAACTAGATACACACACACACAGACAACTAAGGATCGGATTCCTTAAAACAATTTATGATTTTTGCAAATTATTATATATTGCAATGATTATAAATTGCAAATTATGCAATTTATGCAGGGTTTTTTTGGCCTTAAGGTATTTCCCACTAGGGATGGACAATGAGATTACTGCATTTTCAAGTCTCTTGGACCAATTCTTTCTGTGTCTCATCTACTACACACACACAGTTAGGTTCATTCGTTTCATTTGCTTTTGCTTTTCACTGGTATTTTTTAAATGTAATTTTTGTTGTATAATTATGTAAACTATTCACGTGGATTCAAGATCAAATCTAGCAAATCTGAATATATCCAAAAAGTCTAGTTTTCATCTTTTATCCCGGTTCCTCCCCCTGTTCCTCCCACTCCGTGTAAGTAACACTTTGTTTAGTTTTCAGATTAGCCAGCCCCGGCGCTCTAGTGGTTAAGATTCGGCGGGTTCATTTCTTGGTCAGGGAGCCACACCACTGTCTGTTGGTGTCACACTGTGGCAGCTGCATGTTGCTGTGATGCTGAAAGCTGTGCCACTGGCATGTCAAATAGCAGCAGAGTCACGAGTGGCGGACAGGTTTCAGCAGAGCTTCCAGACTAAGACAGACTGAGAGGAAGCACCGGGCCACCTAATTCTGAAAAAACTAGCCATGAAAACCCTGAGAATCGCCGTGGAGCATTGTCTGATGTAGTGCTGGATGGTGAGGGTGGCACAGAAAGACCGGGCAGAGTTCTGCTCTGCTGTCCACAGGTTTGCCAGGAGGCAGAATTGACTCCATGGCACTAACAACAAAGTTTTCAGATTATCCTGGCGTTGCTTTCTCCTATATTTGAAAATACATATATTATATTTTATATGTGTAGTTCATATTCCTCCCTGTTAGAGAAGCGGTAGTAAACTGTACATCACTTTCTTCACTTTGCTTTTTTTGCTTGATGATACATCCTGGAGACCTCTCTATACTGGTTTATAGAGATAGTGCTCATTCCTTTTCACAGTTGCAGAGTACTTCACTGTGTGAATACCTAGGTCTATTCACCCAGTGCCCTAATGATGGGCCTTTGATAGGGTTTTGGTCTTTTGCTATTACAAATAGTGGTGCAGTGAATAGCCTTGTGCATAATTTTTGTCTGTATTTTTGTCAGTGTAGCTTTGGAATAAATCCTAAAATTGGGATTTCTAGTCAAAGGGTAAATGCAGATGGACTTTTGCAAGATGCTGCTAACTTCTCCTCTGTAGTCGGGGCTGCCTTTCCACTCCCTCTGGCCGTGTGGGAGAGCACCCGCTTCCCCTGTACCTTTACCAACAGATTGTGCCAGCCGACTTCTGGATTTCTGACAAAGCTGTAGGTGAGAAGTAGTGTCTCAGTGAAATTCTAATTTATTTAATTTAGTTATTTTACTTTTTCTGTTTTGACTTATTTTTCTCTATTTTGAGTGAATATCTTTTTATATATTCAAGGGACATTTACGTTTCTTTTTTTCTTTGAACTGTTTATTCATATCTCTTGCTTCATTTTCTATCAAGTTGTTGGTCTTTTGTTTCTCTCCTTTGCGATTTCTTTGTCTAATACGGGAATTAACCCTCTTGGATTTAAGTTGGAATTTTTTTCCCCTAGTTTGACATTTGTGTTTTAATTTGTCTGTGGTGATTTTTCCCTCACATTGTCTTTTAGATTTTTATGTAGTCAAATTTATGAGTCTTTTTCCTTTCTCTGTTTCAAATCCTAGCAATATTTCCCCTGCCCTCAGGTTACAAAGAATTCATCTGTGTTTCTTCTATTATTTATAGGGATTTGTGTCTTACCTTTCAGTTCTGATCTGCTTGGAATTTGAATGGCATGAGGAAACGAATGCAGTTTCATTTTTTCTGTCCGGTTATGTAGTTATCCCGGTGTTGCTTATTAGTCCATCTTTTTTCCCATTGGTGTGAGATGTTGCCTTATTGAATATAAATGTAGCATAATATAATCGAATTGAATATGAGTGAATATAGTATGATCAATTCGGTCTATTTGTGAACTTTCTGTTTTTGTTTCCCTGTTCTGTCTCTCTTCTCATGCACCAACATCATACTGCTTTAATTATAGAAACTGTGATGTTTTACTCTCTGGTGGAGCTAGCCTTCCTTCATTGTTCTTCTTTTTCATATTGTCCAAGCAAATTTTCTTCTTTCTTCATCCAAATGAACTTTATAATCAACTTTTTTAGCTGCAGGAAAAAAAAATGGTATGGCAAAATTTGCAAAATTTATGTTTATATAAAATCACATTAAAGAATTATCTGTTAGGCTGGACCGGTGGCATAGTGGTTAAGTTCACATGCTCCACTTCAGTGGCCCAGGATTTGCAGGTTCGGATCCTGGGTGCAGACCTAGCACGGCTCGTCAAGCCAAGCCACACTGTAGTGACATCCCACATAAAATAGAAGAATATTGGCACAGATGTTAGGTCAGTGACAATCTTCCTCAAACAAAAATGTGGAAGATTGGCAACAGATGTTAGCAGGGGCCGATCTTCCTCACACACACACAAAAAGAAATATCTTTTAATTCCAATTTTATGAAATGCTTTAAACACGAAGCTGTATTGAATTTGGTCAAATGTTTTTTCTGCATCTAGGTAATTTTCTTCTTAATCTGTTAATGGGATGTGTTGTAACAATCAATTTTCTCACATTGAACCACCCTAATATTTCTGAAATAAATCACATTTAATCATGGTGTATTACTTATAAGTGTCTAATAATATGTTTAGGATTTTTGTGTCAATATTCACAAATGAAACATGTCTGTAGCTTTATTTATTGGTGAAATCTTTCTTAGCCTTTGGGGTCAGTATCACACTTGCTTCATGGAAAGAATTGAAAGTTTTAGTTCTTTTTGATATGATCAGGAATAGTTTATGTAGCATCAAGATGATCAGATCTTTAAAGGTCTAAATGAGTTCCCCTGTGAAGCTGTCTGGACCTGGTACTCCTCTGTGGGGAAACTCTTTAACTCCTTTCTCTATTGTGTCTTCCATAGTAATTGAACTGTTTCATCTTTCTGTCTCTACTGGGATCAATATGGGTAATAGACTATTACTAATTTTCAGGGAGGAGAAGAAAGAAAAGAGAGTTGGGAATGGTTCCTATTTACCAAAATTGAACCTCTTTTCTCTTCTTCTCAGCCTTTCTAACCTCAAGGTTGTGGGTCCCTATGTCTCAGATCTTCTGAACATGGCTGCTGCTCAGGACAACACTCTGAGGATTGTTCTGGTAGGGAGAACTGGAAGCGGGAAGAGTGCGACAGCAAACACCATCCTTGGGAGAAAAGCATTTGTTTCTAGAATTTCTGCTTACGCTGTTAGCCAGACCTGTCAAAAAGCATCCCGGGAATGGAAAGGGAGGAACCTTCTTGTTGTTGACACCCCAGGGCTCTTTGACACCAAGGAGAAGCTGGAAAACACCTCTATGGAAATCAGCCAGTGTGTTCTCTCCTCCTGCCCTGGGCCTCACGCCATCATCGTGGTTCTGAAGCTGGGCCGCATCACAGAGGAAGAGCAGAATACCATCGCATTGATCAAGGCTGTCTTTGGGAAGGCTGCCATGAAGCACATGATCATCTTGTTCACTCACAAAGATCACTTGGAGGATCAGAGCCTAAGTGACGCTATAGCAGAGGCGGATTTGAAGCTAGGAAACATCATCCAGGAGTGTGGGGGCCGCTGCTGCGCCTTCAACAACAGAGCAGACGAAGCTGAGAAGGAAGCTCAAGTGCAGGAGCTGGTGGAGCTGATAGAGAACATGGTGCAGAAGAACAGAGGGGCGTACTTTGCAGACGCCATATACAAGGACACAGAGGACATCTGGAAACGATGGGCAGAGGAGTTGAAGAAAATCTACACTGATCCACTAGAGAATGAAATTAAACTTCTAGAAAAGGAATATGCTGATACACTGAAAGAAAAAGAAGAAAAAATTAAATCAATACAGCTGAAATATGATGAGAAAATAAAAAATATAAGGCAAGAAGCTGAGAGTAGTGTATTCCAAGATGTTTTAAATGCGATTATGAAGACACTTTCAAAAATATGGCATATGTTTTGGAAGTAATGTAAATTTGATTTTTTTCTTAATCTGCTATGATTTGTAATGTGGTGGATTATGTTTTCCAAAGATGGCCATGCCAGTATCTTCTATCCTACTTATTCTTCTACTATCTGACCTTGTTACTCCTTCCATTGAGTTATGGGATCTGTGCCCCTTACCCTGAAATTGGACGGACTTTGTGACTGCTTTGATAAATAGTGGATAGTTGGAGCAACACCATGTGACTGCTCAGGTTCAAGAGGGAATTGACTCGTTGCTCTCTTGGGGTGCTTGCCTTTGGAAATTGGCCACCATGTTGTGAGGGAGCCCCAGTTGCCCATGGGAAGGCCCACATACAAGGATTTCAAGTCACAGGCCCATTTCCCTGGCTGATCTTTCATCTGCCAGCCTCACAAGTGAGGCAACACAAAAGTGGATTGTCCAGCTGCCAACTGAGCCACCTCTGAGGAAGATGCAAAGAGCAAAGATGAGCCGTTCCCACTGAGTCCTGCCCAAATTGCAGATTCATGAGAAAAATAAATGATTCTTGCTGTTTTAAACCACTAAGTTGTGGGATGGTTTGTTATGCAGCAGTAGCTAACCAGAATTAAACATCTTCACAGCTCATTCCCTACCACTCCCTGATCCCACTTGTCCCCCATCACAGTGCCAACGAATTTAAGAAGTTACAAAATTGGCAAAATCAGGCAATAACCGATCACTAGAATTCAAAGACTCAATTTAGGAAAGTTCAGATAAGAAATCCTGCATACGTTACGTGTTAGCACCACTGGTCATGTGTGTTATTTCAGTCCACGTCTGTGAATACTTTGTTAGTGAAGCATCAGGCTTCTCTGGCAAGATTGTCCTGTGGTTCCTGGGGCTCTGGAGGTTGACAGGTCCTCTTATTGTTTTTCTCTCTTTTCTTTGTCAGGCACCCTCCTAACTTCAGCTGTCCCTGACTATGACTTAAAACTCTCTTCTGTGCAAAATACTTTCCATTTTCCTCTGCAGACCCACTCTTCACCCTTCTTCACTCTAGCTCTTTCCCTAGGAGGGGATCTCTGTGGACTCCACCAGTGGATCTCTTGCTTTCTGCCTTCTGCTTGGCTTCTGCCAATGGGAAGTCCAGGCAGGGGGTCTCTTGGGGGCAAACAAGGTCAGGGTGTTTGTTCTCCTGCCTCTCTCCCTGTAGGGTCATCACTGACTAGCTGCAACCCGTAGTCCAAGGTCACAGCTCCTGCCCTGGTGGCCTCTCCACCCAACTCTCCTTCTGGGCTCCAGTTTTCACTCACCCCTTAGGGTTAGGATGTGATCTCCTCACCGTCACCAGTACTCCCCCTGGTTGTTTCCAAACCCCGTATCCACAGCTTGTAGGAAACCCCTTCACTCGACATTCCTCCAGGTCCCAAATTACAGCGGGCCATCTCTCCTGATAGAATCCGGATTGATCAATCGTATGACACCCACTTCTTTTTCTCGTTCAGAGCATTCCTTGATCTTTACTTTTAAAAAATTCTCTCTAGTGTTTTCTTCCACCAGAAAAATCTCTCCTGACAGCTGAAATCTCTGGGACAAGATTACCCTCACAAACTGTGACATTGGCAGCGAGCAGATGAAAGGTTCTGTCTTGCTTAAATAATCGAGAATCTTCAAAGTTAGAGGGATGACTTTATATCATTTATAGTGATTGCAGATAAGCCAAATTCAAGTTGTTGGGATTTCTCCAGTTGTCCTTTATTTGGTTTGTGAACATGACCGAGAGTATTTACTGTATCAGTGGATTTTAGGGAGACAGGGAATAGAGAGTAAGTCGGGAGAAATAAGGTCCCAAATACCTGCTCATTCTAAGGTCATTACAAATGTTGTGAATGGAGTCAAGACAACGTGGAAGGAAATAACTGTGGTGAGAAAACACATTCATAATATATGTGAAACAGCACAGCTGACCCAACTGCTATTTGCCATAATGCAATTCTCCTGTTTAAAGGTCGTTTCTGGTGAGTGACACATCAGTGCAGAATCATCTCTAGAGAGCAGAGTATGCATGCACAGTCCTTACACTCTTCATTTAAGAACCATTTAAAAGATATTTTCCCTCAGAGACCTCCAGAAGCATTATTTATTCAATTAACCTGTGTGTGTCTAGGCCTGTGTTAGGGTCTATTGAAGATCAACTTAAGTGAGGTGATGTCTTTTCTCCTGATCTTATATTCTGCTTTGGAAGGTAAGACATACCCAGAGGAGAAATGAGCAAATCAAATAAATCGTATCAACACTATCTCTTTGTTTGACAAATGAAATATTCCCCACTCAATTATCTTTACAATCCTTATATCTCAGTTTTCTCCAAAAGTGGTTCTGATTGAGTTCTGAGGTCTCTGGAAGTTCCATCATTTGATGTGTGCATTATCCCTGTTGTTGAAATATATGATCACCATGAACCATAGTGGGGAATTAGACTAGGATTTCTAGGAGAAGACTTGAGGAAGAATTCAGAGCTTGAAGTCTACTGCGAAGGAAGTGTAGGATGTGTGCATGTGGCTGATTGAACGATGATCTTGCTTCTTTTCAGAAACAGGAAAGTTGGGGGCTGCAGGCAACATTGTCAGGGGAAGCATAGACTCAGTGGCAACAGCATTCAGTGAGGTTTGTGACAAGTTGAGTTTCAGTTGTCAAAGGGAGGGTCCAGTGTAAGAGTCCTGCATTAACCTGAAATTTTGGACTGAAGATGATGTGAAAGGCCTGGGGCGAATGTGGCAAGATATTAGCATAAATATCTCCCTCAAGTTCAGCTGAGTCCTCAGTATTTGCCAATATGGCCAGATTCCAAAGCTGTGTGCCAGAAAATCTATGGAGGACTTGTCAAAGGAAGGAGCTAGAAACCAGTTATATGAGGTTTAGTCTTCAACTAATTCGATAGGTATTTGAAGAGGTCAAGAGGAAAGGACTTTGTAAAAGAGGACATTTAGATTTTGGGTCACTGACCTCAGGGTTCCTCTGTAGAGTAACAGCCTTCCCAGCAGTAAGGTGATCTCTATGCAACAATGTGTTACGATAAGGGAGGCCCCACAGTGACTCCACCTTGCATCTCCTACCCAGTGCGATGATGGTTCCCTCTCTCCTCAAACATAGTACGGAGCCCTCTTGGACTCTGAAGGTGCCAGAAAAGGTGAGTGGTGTATGGTAATAGATTCCTTTGAGGACATGAGCTTTGTCCTCTGGAGTTTAGTTTTGGAGCCTAGTGGCTCTAAATATATGAAAGGATGTTGCTGTGTGCCAGAGGAAGCAGGGTAAAGATTGAGGAGCCTGTACTGGAAGCACCCATAACTTTCTCTGACTGAGGGGAAAAGTATGTGTTTCCCATAAATCAAATGTGGGCTACACAGAAGGGAGCCAGCCAGAGCCAGCTAGAAGGGAACTTGCCCTGGAGTCCACCAGGGATCCCATCAGTGATGAATGGACCAGACCTCTGGGAGCCCAGGTGCTGGGAACTGGGCTGGAAGTAACCCGCTGGAGGGGACATAGTGATCATTAGTTGGACTTGGAATTAGGCATTTCCAGGGCACACTCTATGACGAGTCATCAATGGTGCCCTATGAGGAAAAGAGTCACTCACTGTGCCTCCAACCCCCAAGGCCAGATTACACCTGACTTGTCTTCAGTCTCTCTTCCTGTTCTCCTCCAACCCATGAGGAGTCAGACCTATGATGCCTGACTGGAGGCGGAAGAGGAGAAGGGCACCGTTGGGAAGCCCTGTCCACACGGCAGGTCCTTCAGCTGAAGCAGGCACCAGCCAGGGGAAGGAGCCACTTTACCCTTCAATGAAATTCAGAGTTTGATGATTGGGTTGGATGTTTTAATTACACAAATCTGACTAACAGTGATTGGAGAGGTGCTTGCTAAGGGCAGAATCCATCCAAGATTTTCCTCTTGAGGCACTAACGGAGCCAGTTTGAAAGGCCAGTAAGAGAAAAGAATAAAAGTCTTCTTTCCATGCCCCTGTGGAGTCCCTCCTATGCAACCACACAGTTATATACAGATTGCCTTCTTGGCTGTGGGGGAGATGACTCTAGAGAAGAACTCCAGGATCTCGCCAATCCTGAGTCCTGCACCTGAGGTGTTGGGAATTCAAGTGAGTTGCAGGAGCAGCAGTCAGGGGAAGGCACTGTGCTCATGCGGATTACTGAGAGAGTTTTGAAGCTGCCACATTCCTACTAGGGAGGGGTGTTTGTGTACAAATCCCAGAGTCACGAGATTCAAATAGGTGGAGTCGGCCCTGCAGTATCTGAAGTGGGAGAAGTGTCCCCGTGAGCCCTGGGCCTTGTTTACTCAAGGTCAACCAGAGCCCAGCCTTGACCAGCAAAAAATCTGTGCTGAGGGGTCTCCACATCCTTGTGGCTGAGGAGAGGACAGGCAGTAAAGAGCAGTGTGGTGCCCGGCAAGACATTTACAGTGGTGTGGGAGACTTTCACAGCAAGCTTATGGTACGTCTGTGGCAAAAGTTCTGACCATTCTTAGGGATCACAACTCAACTTTTTTTTTTTTGAGGAAGATTAGCCCTGAGCTGACATCCATGCCTATCTTCCTCTGCTTTATATGTGGGACGCCTACCACAGCCTGGCTTAACAAGCGGTGTGTATGTCCGCACCAGGGATCTGAACCGGTGAACCCCGGGCCGCTGAAGCAGAACATGCGAACTTAAACAGTGTGCCAGAGGCCTGGCCCCACAACTCAACTTTTTGAGAGCGGATTTTGTTTTTGACAGAGTCTCAATCTGGTGTATAGGGCTAATGATTAGACTTGAAAGTATGCTTATGGTTGAAAACAAGAAGATGCTATAAATTAGAGACCTGTTTTCTGCTGTGACTTTTAACTCTGAAGACCACCCCACCAGAGAAGTTCCAGAGATGCTGTGAGTAATAAGCCCCCGAGGTCAAAGGAGGCATGTTTGAGATGCAGCAATCATTTGCCAAAGAGCTGTGCACGTGGTCCATGGACAATGACCAAAAGTTCATTTGTATAGTCAGTTGTTGAATATGGATGTAAAAATTGCAATTTCTGGATGTTGTACCCCACACCGGAGCCCTCACTAAATTCATAAAGCAAGCTTTGAATGGTAGTCAGAAACATGGTCCTTACTGAACTCTAAAATGTCTCTAATGAGAAAAGCCATCCTCCAACTTAGAATGGCCTTAAACATCACTGCCTCTCAAGGAGGCACCTGTGCCATTATCCAAACAGAATGTTGTGTGTTCATACCTGGTGCGTCTGCTAATCTGTTGTCTTTCTTAAATCACATGAGGACACAAGTGAATGCCCTGAACCAACCCCCAGCCTGGAGGACTTAGTAAATCAACGGTGCAGATCACGGGGCTCTTGGTGGACAAAGTTGTCCCTGATTTGGGGAATTATTGTCTTGACCTGTGTTTTCTCTTGCATGTGCCTGTATTGCTGCTGTAGCATTTGCCTCCAACGCAGCAAGACAGCTGCCAAACGAGCCACCTCCGTGCTAGAGAAACCCCTTGCTGACCGCTGAGGGCACATTGGGGAAGGGGGGCATG